GAACACGGGACGAGGTAGCGGCGCACGTGGTTTTCAGTTAGAAACACAACCGGGCAAGTGAAAAGCACCTCACAACACAAAACGCACATCGCTCGCTGAGATTCAGGTTTAGGTTTGAAGAAAAAACCCACACCTAACTTCAAACTCAGTATTTAAAACAGACGTGTTCTCTCCTAGAAAACACTGACAAAGGAAATTCACTTTTAGAAAGTGATCATCCAGGGCGAGAAGATGCAGAAATGCCACCACATTCAGTCGGTACGGGAATGTACTGTCGATTCCGAGCTCACAGAGCAAGTCCACCTGGAGTCACACACCCTCCAAGTCCAGACTGGAAAGATCATCCACTTGCTCCCACTTCTAAACTGACGCTAAGTATCGTTTCTCAAATGTTATCATGTTATGAACACCCAAATGTGCTTCCCTGAGGTCATTTTCCAAAGAGAAAAGGGAATAATTATTCCAAAGCGGGAAGCATCAGTAGCTTGAGGTTGTAAGTAAGCTCAGCCATCCTGAAAGGTCCGAGTCGGTTTTGAATTGACAATCTCTGTCTTTTGCAGCTACGGCTGTGACTGTCTTCAAGATAACGCGACAGGAGCTCTGAGAATCGTATGCGCAAGAGTGAGCAGCCAGCGCTCAGGTGTTAGCATGCACGGCAGAAGAGGCCCCCCAAGCACACGACCAGAATGCACCAAATACCTGAATCCCTCCGGAGTGGGGATGATGAGGTGGGGGTTAGGAGGGTCGCTGTGGCATCGCGGCACCTTCACAGGACGGGGGCTGTTCCGATGAATGGCTGCCGTGAAAATGGCGACAAATGCAACATGTTAAAGGGGTCAACAGAAAACTGCCAACCCAGGCGAGTAAATGAACCAGGATGGGACTTAATTTTGCTGGTGACCAAAATAAACCCTTTCTAAAAGAAAGTCATATTATATACAAATATTGTGGGAAATGTCACTTTTAGTTACATGACACATTCGAACTTTCCTCCATCAAAAACATTTTTTAAATCCCGGGATGAAATGCACATAATTTATGCAAAACAAACGATGTAGCCCATTTTACAGACAGGTGGCAACGTGCGGCATCCCCGAGTGAAAAGGGCTCGTACGCCATCTGCACTCAGAGAGGACTCCGGTCAGTGGGACACCCCGACAGGTCCCGAGTGGGCGGCCACTGCATTTTCCTGAGGGCCAGGGCTTTTATCTCATTCCTTTAAACCAAATCAAGAGGTTATTTTTTTTTTTTCAGAACAGGTTTTCTTTTCTCCTCTTCTAAACAGTCTGGTAGAAGGTAAACATGGATAAAATTTTACACAAAATTTAATAACAAAAAATTTTAAGAACTGACCTTCCCTAGTGATTACAAAAATGCTGACAACTGTACTTTCCCAGTAACTAAATGTAACTAGAAATGGACGTGTTATACTTTGTCTACTTCTCCCTAACATGGTCTCCCCTTACTTTTAACTTGGTTTTAACCCTCCTTAGTTTTTTTTAAAGTCATATTTTCTCTTTTCAAGTTAACAATTTTAGTCTACGTGTTTCATTCTGAATGTTTTATCCGAAATAAAAATACTACCCCTTCATGGGTTCTGTCTGTGTGCTTTTAATAGCATTTACACAGGAAAGACAGGAGTACCCAAACGGATCTGAAGGGAAAACTTGCAAAACAAGAATAAAGCAATTGTTAAGAAATTGGGGAAATTTGCACCCCTGGTTCATAATCTCAACTACTACAACAATAAATGGAATAAATCACCAGTAGCAAAGGTGAAAAGAAAAAAAACAAGTATAATTTGGTGCGGTTGGTGATATCTTTAATTTGCAAACATACTGGTACCTACTGAGTCAAAAATGACTACAAAATTTTCCTATGAAAACACACTGGGGTCTACTCACAAGTTTAACATGCTTCACAGATGAAGCAAAACATTTAAGACCAAGTACACCTAACTGATGCAAATGTGTGATATTTCACCGAAAAGAAAGTCCTAATGGCCAATAAACAAAAATAGATGCTCAATCTCACTAGCGGTGAACTATTGAGATGTTTTTCACCGGAAAAAACTAACAAAGCAAGTGTGTGTCCACTAGGAAATGGTGGACTCAGTCTGTCCATAATGGACAACGAGGCCACTGAAAAGAATGAACTGGATCTACACCTGTTGACACAGGAATTTCTACAACTGACAGGTAAGAAAAGCAAAAGAACACTCAACGTAATCCAAATTTTACACAGTGAATGGCAAGCAAGCCCCCCTGTAAATGCCGTGTGATGTTATGAGCAGGAAGGCACGGCAGAACACGCTGTGCAGTTAAACATGTGCGTGCACAGAAAGGAGGACGATTCGTACCAGGTTGCTACCATTAAGCTACAGGGGTATACCGGGCGGGCGGGGGGGGGGCGAAAAGCAACAACACAGCCCATGTGTTCTCACTTTCATTAATTTCTAAGAATAAAAGGACCTAAAACCAGTGACTGCAGCCTCGGTAGAACGCTCCCGTTGACAGCGTCCATCGGACCGAGTCCTCGTCAGCATCCACATTTAGGTACTAGAAGGGGAGGCTCTGGGGGAATGAGCAGCCCCGGGCACTGGGCTGCGAGAATCTGGCTCTCAGGCAGGGCCGCCCCACCATTCCCCCGTGGCTGCGAGGACAGACGACACCTGGAACCCACAGGAGCTATGAGCCAACTGTCCCGCCAACAGTTTGGAGAGGCAGAGTGAACCATTAGTGACTCACACGTTAACAGCGATTGCCTGAGGATTTGTAATATCTTTCTACATTAAAAATTCTCCTACATGTACATTTTCTACATTTGTTATATACGTTTTCTACATTGTAATTTTCTACAATGAAAATGACTCTTTATATAATAAAATATTTTAGAGATGTAATTTTTACTGATTTATTGGTCATGTATTCTTAGAGAAATAATTTAGGAGACCATGAAATCATTTATGATAATATGCTTAACCTATAGTATGTTTTATATAAAATATTCAAATAGTAAATGATAACCATCATTTCATAGCAGCCTTGGGAGAAAAAGAGGTATAAATAAACTCAGTAAATTTTAAAGATAAAGAAACCAAACATTAAAACTGGGGGTGGGGTCTACTAACCTTTCTGTAGCTAGCAAATACCCTTTGAGATATAGCTGCTGCTCAATAAAGTTACCATTTATGAGTACTTTATTTCGTGTAACAAATGGTTTAAAATTTCTAAGTTTTCCTATCTGGGTATCTATTACATATAAATAGCTTTGCTCTGATTTACCATCTTAAGACTGGGGTTAGACACAAACTTTTCTGAGACTTATTTTAAAACTTCAACATACATTGTAAAGCTGTATATTAACTGTAAGTAAAGTATATTATAGCATAACTTGATTTTTTTTTTTTAGTAAAACCAATAGGAACGGACTAGATTAGCAGGAAGAGGGTACGTAGGGAAGTGGTGGAGAAGAAAACCGTTAACAATGACGGCAGGCAGGTCCCTGACACGCGCCCACCTCCACAGGAAAGGCTCTTCGCCCCAAAAGCCCCTCCCTCCAAGTCTCCTCCCAGAGAAAAGACTCCGGGGAGAGCAGATGGGAGAGCTGATGAGCAAAAGCAGTGCTGCGGGCAGGCCCTGACGCCTGTGTGGGCGCGCTCATCTCCCTGCCGATGGAGACCGCTCGCTCACTGGGAGTTCTCTTCGCGCACACGTCACTCCTCTGACTTTCGTTGTCCCTTTGCTGAATATTCTTAAAGACGCTCTAGCCGTGGCCGGTGTGGCCCAGTGGATAGAGCATCGGCCTACAGACTGAAGAGCCCCGGGTTCGATTCTGGTCAAGGGCACATGCCTGGGCAATGGGCTCATCCCCAGTAGGGAGGCGTGCAGGAGGCAGCTGATCAATGATGTTTCTCTCATCACTGATGTTTCTCTCTCGTCCTCTCCCTTCCTCTCTAAAATCAATAAAAAAATATTTTGGGGGGAAAAAAAGACGCTCTAACGACGGGAAAGGAGGGCGACGATGAGGGAGGCGCTTGCTGGAGCCAGTGGGTGCAGCATTAACGCTGCAGCTGCTGTCTTACCAAGGTACAAACCTGTAACAGGACTGTGCGGCTTTCCTATCACGTGGCCAATGCATTCGTTCATCAAGGCTTGTAAACTCTAGCACCCACAGGAAATGGGAAAGGAGAAGAAAGAATGAATACTCTCTCACTTAGATAATTAGCACAAATTAAGCTTTAGGTATATTTTAAAGAACATGCTATCCTTAGTAAATGTTCTCAACGTTAGTTTAAAATGAAATTGGTATGAACAAGAATTAACGACATACTGTACATAATTTAAAATGTCATACAATTCCCTTTTCATTAGTAAAGCAGATGTGCACTCAGCGCCCTTAATAATGACATGCACAAGTGAGGACCTGCAATCATCTCCACTATTTGGAGTTAAATAAATTTATATTTTGAACATCTTTTTAATCTGATGGAATTTATCAGAATAACAGTGATAATATTTAACATTTGATATCATGCTCTCAAATTACACACGGTGAAATGAAATAGCTAATCCTTGTTCTTCACTAAACTGCTAAAAAGCAGCAACTAGGTCAGCAGTCAGTAAACACGAACCTGGCAAATACTTAGGAGCGCCAGCTGCAAACCCGCTGGCGTGGCTGCTGAGCCGCACTGGTGTCCTGCTGCGGAGCAGCCACTAACAACTCAGCGCTTTAGCGACTCCGTTCTCAGCTTTGTCATGACAATTATGTTACACATATTTTAAAATCACTATTCAATATGAAAAACACACAATCAAGAACAGACAGTGATCAACTTGTTTGTTTTTTAACAGAAAAAACTTTAGAATAGTCCATACCAAGAAGTCATCTTCTGGTAAAGCAGAAATGAAGGCAGGTTCAATGGCTTGCAGAAAGTCAAAACCTTGAGTTGCCCACCTGCAATGAAAAGTGTCAATAATCACAAAAGAACCAAGAAAATGCTATAGCAGTTTTAGTCTATACAACACTGAAAAGTGATGTAACTGGAAAATTACTATCTAGGACAAAACACATTTTCTGTCTTTATATAAATGCCAGGGACTGAGTATACGTACAGCATGTTTTAGGAAAGAAAGACAATATGGCTTCTTAGCAAAGTAACTGGTTACCAATTTGTTTTCCATTTTTTCTAATAACCGGCATAACTTTCATGAGGGAGGAGAGATTAGCAATCAGGAAGGCCTGTCCAGGGAGAATGTGGACTCCCTTAAAGAAAACTCATTTGGGAACAATAAAAAACAGACAAAAATATAGACACACACACAACTGATCACTGCAGAGTTCAAAATGCTCCCTTTTGTGTTCTCTGATCAGAGTCCCATATGAAGTACAAGGAGGAAGTACTACCAATCCCACACAACTCATGATGGACACATCCCACCTGGTCCTTACCTGGGTCTGGTGCCTCTCCCACTCTCACACTTAGTCAGGACATAATTCATCCATTTCCGGGCAAAGCTTATATATTTGTCTCCAATCTTCTGTCTAAACTCTCCAGACATCAGACGAACAACTTCTTTATGATACTGTAAGATTTCATTTACATCAAAGTTAAGAAGAAAATGATTATACAAATACCTATACACTATAATACCATATCTGTTTAAAATGACTTTTTTTCTAAAAACAAAAATCCAGCCTTAGCTGGTTTGGCTTAATGGATAGAGCACTGGCCTGCAGACTGAAGGGTCCTGGGTTCAATTCCAGGCAAAGGCACATGCCCGGGTTGCAGGCTCAATCCCCAGAAGGCGGTGTGCAGGAGGCAGCCGATCAATGATTCTCTCTCATCATGGATGTTTCTCTTTCTCTCTCTCTCCCTCTCCCTTCCTCTCTGAAATCAAAATATTTTAAAAATCTATAATAATAAAAGCATAATATGCTAATTAGACCAGACGTCCTTCCGGACAAAGCCAAGGCTGTGAGGGAAGCCCGGGGCCTGGTGCCTGACGGCGGCCAGAGGAAAACCTGGGTCTCAGGTGCCAGAGGGAAGCTGGTGCCAGCAGCCGGGGGAAGGAAGGCCTACTCTTACACGAATTTTGTGCATCGGGCCTCTAGTAAATAAATTAAAACAAAAATCCAATGAAAATTTACAGCATGGAGAGTTAGAAAATAATGTCTTAATGCAGTTTCACAAATGTTTTACTCATAGTTTAAATTAAGAACGTGCTCTTATGATATTAAACAACTCTTAAAAGAAGGTTTTTAAATGTAAGTAGATAGCTGTTCACATAAAATAAAAACTGGGCAACTATCTGACAGTTTAAAAGTAAACCAGTATTTCCAATATTTAGCAATGGCATAAGAAGGCATTATTAAGTTTTGATTACAATCAATAATCAGATTTGCATACAAGACACATGACACTTCCTATAAGTTACAAAGCAATGGCCGATTGCACTGTGTTTTTTTCCTTACTCTGTACCTACCTCAAACCCAAAATTGTAGCCCTGGATCATGGCCTCTCGGTGGTACTGCTGCAGCGTGACAGACTCCGATTCGTCAACTTCAGCATCAAATTCTGAAGTGAACATGTGGTCCACTCGGTCAATGGCATCACTTATTCTGTTGCAAAGTTCTAATGCATCATTCTAAAGAGTCCCAAACCATAATTAATCCAAAAAGAAGCAAATCACACAATACTTACGTATTTTAGTGGAAGATTTCTTTCATCATCACAGGCATAAACCAGTACAGTATTTCTCAGCCACATTTTTCTGGTTAGTCAAAAGGACTGACCAGAAATAGAGGAAATTATATGACTTTCACTTTTATCTGTATTGAGTGTTCTTCAATATCTTATGAAATATAAGAGGGACATATCCATAAAACAGTAACGTCTAATGACAATGCGGCCTTGGAACAGATGCTGACAGCATCAGTATTTTTACATGTAACCACAAGTAGTTTTCCCCTGGGTGATTGCTCAGATTCCAGAGTGAACTCCCAGTGTATTTCTATATGACCTCCACAATGTTACCAAGTCATACCATCCGTCTCACCCCCCTGCACTCCAGTTCAGGGTTCTCAACTAGATTTTATCCCCTCCCCCCACGCGACACTGGCAATGGCTAGGGATATTTTTGGTTGTCACAACTGGAGGAGGAGTAAAATCTACTGGCATCTACTGGGTAGAGGTCAGGGAAACTGCGAAACATCCCACAGCGCACAGGAGAGCTCCCCAAACAATTACAGACCCAGGACATCAACAGTTCAAGCCTTGTTGTCTCGTTAAGCAACACGACCATAGTGCTCCAAATTGGGCTCCCTTCCCACTCACCTTGAAACACACCCCTATGTGCACATGTCTCCAGACCATCCCCTTCCCCAAATTCTGCCTCCTAAATCCTAACAACTCCCCTAGGCTTAGAAAATAAAACGAGGCTCTCTCCCCAGCCTGACCTGCCCAGCCTCAGTGCCACTGTCTCCCGCTGCACGCACCAGTAGCCAGCCGAGCAGACCACGCCCGACTCTGACATCCGGTGAGCACCCCGCAGCCTGGCCCACAGACCGGTGCCCGCACGCTCCTCTGTGAGCCCTTTCCATGTGCTGTTTCTGAAAGCCCCCAAGCCGGAAGGCCTCCGTGCCGGCTCTTCCCAGACGCTACGAGCCGGACTCTCCCTCCTCTGTGGTCAGTGTGGCAGCTCCAGTCCTTAGGCTACGAATCCCTTCAGCTCAAGAATAATTAGTGTCTTAAGTAGTTTTACACTCTCACTGACTCAAACTATAAGAAAAGACAAAGCCCCTGCCCTGGCATTAGAGTGGGGTGACCATCTGAAGGGGGTGTTCACAGAGGGATGAGGAAGATGAGGCAGGAGGGGCGGGCTGGAGAGAAACGCATGCTTATCGAACTCCTTGTCATCTCAGTGCCGCTTCTACCAGAAGCCAAGCCTCAGCCTACGGAGAGGACATAGCTGGTGGCCGGGGGGGAAGGGTGGACAAGACCAGGATGACAAATGGAGGACGACAGAGAAAGTGGTGAATACAGGAAATAAGAGCAGGCACGGCTCTGGCTGGTGGTGAGCTCTGAGGCCCGCGTGCCTGTCCACACTGGCTCTGTCCAGTCATCTTGGCTGACCTATCTGTTAAATGAGGTCAGCAAGTCTCTCAGACTATACATCACTGACCTGGAGCACCTCCAGTAAATGCCGCTAAGGAACAGAAACGCTGGGCTAGGAATGAAGAGACCTAAATTCCAGTATCACCTTTGCTACTAATCAACCACGTGACCATTATGAGTCATGTGACTATTCATATTTCCATCCCTTCTACAGTTCCAGGAAAGATCCAGAAGCCCTTTGGCTTAGCCATGAGGAAGGGCGGACTGCGCAGAGGGGAAATGGGAGGACAACTGGGTAATATTCCGTTACACCCTGTGCTACAGAGCGACATCCAAACAGACAAGCCGCTAGGCCGCGCTGACGGGAATACCTTGAGCTGCTGCAGAGCCTTGGCGATGATGGGCTGGCTGGACGTCTGCTCGTGGCGCAGCGCCAGGAGCCCCTCGATGGACTGCTGGAAGGCTTTCCTCTGGATGAGGAGCTGTGCAGACTGCATGACAACTAGTAGAAGGTTATCCACCTGCGAGGAAAGGCAAGCACAGGCTGACAGCAGGCCCCATTCCTGCCTCCCCGTTCCTGCCTCCCCGTCGGGAATCAGAGCCACCTCAGGGTTCCCGGGCCAGCAGCCACCTGCTGAGGAAGCTGCTGTCCAGCAAAGCTGCTCCCAAGAGCAAGGGCTGCAGTGGCACTGGCGGCAGGACCTTCAGCACAGTGTGAAGAATCCCAGGGGACGGGGTCATGATGTCCCGGAAACGTCCCAGACTCCAGGGAACTCCACACTCTGGGTGCTGTGTGTGTGTGCGTGTGTGTGTGTGTGCAGGAGCAGCACTGTAGGTGGAAAACACAAGAATAAAAGTGGGACGAGCTCAGGGCCTTGGATGAAACAGGGAAAAACCAGACTTTAGTATCTTTATTTTTTAAGTAGTTTGAGTAGATCTGGGATGTGACCTGATGTATGTATTAGAATGATCATCTGGAAGTACCAGAGCAAACGAATGCAGCAGCGCAGGGAGAGAAGGTGAGGGCTGAGGCAGAGAAGCTCCAGGGCGGTTGGGATCCCTGCCGTGGTCCAGGAAAGAGAGGCGGCCTGACCGTGGGAACGGCGGCCTGCGGAGGAACGTCACTGACTGACAGTGCCTGGGCTCCCTGGGGCTGTGGGCGAACGTCACCGACTGGCAGTGCCTGGGCTCCCTGGGGCTGTGGGCTGATGGTAACTGTCCCGCTCTGGTTCGAACACCTGAGTGGACGGAGCACCGCTCCTGGAGACGGAGCGCAGAGGAAGAACCCGTCTGCGGAGTCACGGGACAGGAGGCGGGACGCAGCTCTGTGCAGGCTGGGCTCCAGGTGCACACCCCCTGCACTCACCACCACTCCCCTCACTGAATATGGAGAACACGAGGGAGTGTCTTAGGGTTTTAGTGAACACATTACATAGACTACAGGGTCCCTGCTAGGTAGGCAAGCGATAGCCTACACTACAAAAACAAAAACCAAGCAGCCAGCAAACCAGAGGTTCCGGAGAACTTGGACTTCTGGAGCTACACATTCAGTGAGTAAGGCAATTCCTTGTAGATCATGGCTCTACAGAGCTAATGACCTGGCTGAAACAGGAAAGATATAAATATTTCAAGTATCCCAGTGTAATTTAACATACCTATAGATTTTGATGGAATAGTTCAGTACAAGCAATGCTACAAAATTATCTAATGATTTATTTTTCCTAAAAGTATCTTCAGTAAGAAATACTGCTTAAAGTCAGGGGAAGGTGGCGGGCGGTGAGAGGCCTGGGAGGGGACATACCTGCATGCTTCTCAGGGTCTCCACCGTCTCTACCTGAGGCACGATTTTCACAGGCTGCGCCTCCCACGTGGCCCAGCTGTCGCCCGCGGGGTCGCTGTGCTTGGTGAGGAGGAGATGGGCGTCGAGCAGCAGCACATAGTCCGTGTCCTTTAAGCAGTCCTTTCCTCCTGCGGCGGCGCTGAGTAACGCCAGGATAAAACTCTTCTCCTCGGCGACAGTGTCTGGGACAAACACCTGCAGGTTCTCTAAGCCAGGAATCTGCACCTGGAACAGAGACCACCCACAGCCTGATGCCCTTGACTGTGGTGATGGCAGCACAGTGTCTCTATGTCCAAACTCACCATAGTGTATACACTAGGTAGGTGCAGTTTTTCTATGCCAATTATACCTCAATAAAGCTCTAAAGATAAAGTTAAATTTTAGCCATTTGAAGAAAAACCTTGAATTAAGAAATGCCATAAATTAAAGAAATGTTACTTAAAAAGACAAGCAGGTTTGAGGAAGGCAATGTGGGAAGGCATGAGCCAGAGCCATGAGGGACAACCGGTTCAGGTCAGTGACGGGGCCGTGGCTGACCGGCAGAGACCCTCACGCTGTGTCCACTTACAGCGCAGCCTCTACCGTCTTTGTTTCAACAGCAAAGGAAAGACTCCTCAGGAGGAAGGTCAGCCTGAGACAGCCTCCACCAGTGCTGGTCTGTGACGCCATTATTAAGCAAAGCTGCTCCCAGAAGCAAAGCCTGCCGCGGGCGGGCAGCCGGGCGCCGGCAAAGAAGCCTGAGTCTGTGCGGGTGACATCCTAACTCAGTGAAAAGGCAAAAGTGTCAGTGCAGGTTCACAAGCTACTCCTGGGGAGGGGCCCTAAAGAGCCTTTTAAAGATCATTTTAACAAGAAGCACACGTGACTGCCGTACAAGTCACATACACGTGGGTGGAATAAAATTTCTAGTAACAATATCACACACAGATTCCAAATGTCAGAGTGCAAAGAACCTAAAGGGGAGAAAAGATGGAAACTCAAAAAGAGGCTCTAGTGATGTCCAGGATGTCAAAGATTTATGTAGAAAGTCTGAATTGTGAGGGTAAAAAACAACTAATTTAAATTCAACATATTATAGTATATACATTATTTTAAACACATATGTGTAATTTAATAAAATAAATATATTGAATATTTAATTATTTTATCTGTAAAACAAGTCAATAAGTCAAGTATGAAAAACTTGATTTGGGGGAGATTATGGAATAGTCCTATAACTGGGGTCAACATGCGGCTGGCAAAGCCTGAAAGTTTTACTCGCTGGACCTTTAAGAAAAGCTTTCCTGTTTTGGAGTAAAAGTAAGAAAGACAAATATTTCAATTACACCAGCAGACTACTTACTTTAACATAATACCATGAGAACACTTACTTTGGCATGTAATGTGACTACTTACTTTGACATGTAACACGACTACTTACTTTGGCATGTAACACGTGACTACTTACTTTGATGTGTAACAAGACTACTTACTTTGGCATGTAACACGCAACTACTTATTTTGACGAGTAACACGTGACTACTTACTTTGGCATGTAACACGTGACTACTTACTTTGACATGTAACACGTGACTATGGCATGTAACACGTGACTACTTACTTTGGTATGTAACGTGTGCTACTTACTTTGACGTACTGCTTTGATTTCAGGACCTCCAGAAGGTCTCTAATGGGGGCTGAAAGGATGAACTCAGCAGCGATTTCCAGGTCCTAGGGTCACAGACACGACACTTCTTTAGAGCTGGCTTTTTTAAACGTAAGAAAAAGAAAGAAAGTAACAGAACCAGCCGGGACCGCGCACTCACCTTCCTCAGCATCTTAGCGAAGCCGAGGGCCTTGGAGGCTCGCTCCCGGGCCTCGTGGAAGAGCTCCTTGAGGGCCCGGCTGATCTCCACCACAGACCGCCTGCGGGGATGGAGACAGTGAGGGCACAGGAGCTACTGCCGGGGAATGCAGAGAAGGTGAAGCAAGTTCCAGACCAGTCATACAACTGGAGGCGTTATAAATGGAAACGTATTCCAGATGTTCAGGAGCTTTCTCCCCCGTTTTCCAGAAAGCACTGTGTTCTTTAGGTAAGAAGGGCACACTCCATCACCTTCAAACAACAGTAAGCTCAACTTTCTCCAGACTTCATTACAATAATTTCCTGGAGTTTGAGACAAGCTCTTAACTCCCAGCTCATCATCTAAAAAGGCATATATCCAGCCCTGGCGGGTGGGTCAGTTGCTTGGAGCATTGTCCCGTACACTGAAAGGTCCAGGGTTCGATCCCTGGTTGGGACACATACAGGAAGCAAAGGGTTGATGTTTCTCACATCGATGTCCTCCCCCCTGTCTTTCTCTCTCTAAAATCAATAAAATTTTTAAAAAGCACACAAAAAAGGCACATATCCAGAGGTAAGCCAGTAAATGGTTAATGACGGTTAATGTTTTGGCTTCACCCAAAACACTGTCTTATGTGGTGTTTGTCAATGTTCCTGTGTACGGACCAAGACCCCCACCCCAGCCGAGTTCAGGCTGCCAGCCCCACGGTGCTAAGCGGTGACTGGGAAGAGAATGCACCGTCTATCACCATCGGCTCTCTGACCCAGGACAAGCCAGCCCCATTGCCCACTGCACCTGAACCACGTTCAGATGCACCCCTGAAAAACCACCAGGAGGGTCATTCTCTGCACTAGCTCACACCTTAGTGCTTGAGTTCCCATTTTTGATTTAATCCTCCCTATTAGCTCTCAAAACTGCAAGCCCTAGAAATGGATTCTCTGACCTCTCAGCCACTCAATATTCCCCCGGGTGAGAATCCAGGTGGTCACTACTTTGTGTATCTGTGGCATAAGGACAGCCCAGGGCTCTGAAATCCAAACTGCGGTCGCACCAACTCCGGATGGTGAGCACGGCCGGAGGGCATGTCCTAGCGCACCGTTGACTGATCGCTGGCTGCACAATGGCTACATGACTGATGTACAGGCCACAAAACAGCGATTTCACATGATTCAGCCTAAATACCACCTGCACAGAACTGAAGAAATGCAATAGGTGAGCGAGCGATTCCACCCACTTCAGCTTCAAGTTCCACAGAAGGGATACGCTGAGCATGAAAACAATACCAACGCAGCAAGGGTCAATGAAAGGCGCTAAAGGACAGCCACAGGGGCACCCTCCCTGAGCTGAGGACATTCCAAAACCCGGGGGTGGGGGGGGGGGGTTCTGCTCTACTCATTTTCGCCCGCTGACACTACCTATTCCTTTCCTCAAGGACACCATTTTACCAGGCTACATGAACTCACTTCCAAAGGAATGGCACAGACTCATCCCTAGAGACCGTATGAAAGACAGCGTAGAAGTCAATCCCGCTAGGTCTACTACCAAGTTCAGAAAGTGCAAAACAATTTGGACTGATTTCATCACCTGATTTCATCCGAAGCACTACTGTCATCGGCACTGGTCCAGAACTCAGCACAGCTCTCCTGCAGGCCGACCTCCAGGAAGCTGCCCGTGGATTTCAGCAGCATCCCTGCAATGTCACTGAGGACGAAGAACAACAAGAGTCAGCCGGGAAGACCGTGCTCACTGCACTACTGCTCCTAAACGAGGGACCGAGAGGGCATGTTCCAGCTCGTGTTTCAACCATTTAGAAAAATGACCGGGATTTTCCAATAGAAACTCATGATTAATACGAAAACGTGTAAACACTGATTATGGCACGTATCTACCTTTTTCTATTACCATGGTTTTCGTTATAAACCTTAAAATTTTAAGTTACTTTCATAGTAGCTATGTAATTATTCACAAATGTTATTTTTCTCTTAAACAAATGTCCAAAATGATAAAATGACCTTAAATATATATCTATGACAAGATTTTTTAAAAAGCTTAATAAGCTAAATGATGATATAGAGCAATAAAGTGAATTCCTTAAATGTAACTGTTTTTTAAATTTTCCCTCACAATTAGCTTTTCGTGGTTATTAAACATAAGATACTATATTTAGCTGATGGTGCTCTCTGAGTATGAAATCTAAATACTAGGGTTAAAAGGCAGATGCAGGTATATACATAAATCTGAGTGCAGTACAAGTTCAACAGCAGCTCGACTGCTATGGCACTCAAGGGAAGAGGCTTACGACCTGGTCAGAGAAAGCAGCCGGGGCGCGGCCAGCACCAGGGCGGCCGGCGGTCAGTGGGAGGGGAGCTATCAGAGGAGCAGGTGGAACCTGGAGGAAGGCGAGGTGTCAGTGGGCCTGCGGAGAGGGCGGGTTAGAACAACAGAATGGCCGGGAGAGGGGTCGGTCAGTGTCCAGGGAGGACACGAAACACGATCACCAGCGTGAAGACGTGTAAAGCAGGAGGCACGGCTGTGGATGAATCGTCCACCTGAAAGGAGCTGGCGGAGACAGGACAGGAAAGCGAAGGCCTGCGTGTGGAGGACCGAGGATGGCTGTACACACACCTCAGTGGGTAGCGACGAGGAACAGGCTCCACAACAGAGTGTACAAGGGTGCTCAGGATGGACTTCGCAACCAATACTGACTATCTGTTCTATACTACACAGCACTATCCCGCCACCGAATAGGAATAAAAAGAAAACTACAGAGCATTATAGGTCAGCGTTATATGGAGAGAAGTACAAGAGGAAAGAGAGCTAGGGAGGACTTGCAGGTAGGAATTTTAACTTTAAATCTGGACAAAGATGTAAAGGAAGCAGACACAAGAGTCTTGAAAATGGCTGGGGGAGAGCAGTCCCAGCAGAGGGACAGCAGGTGAGAGCTGAGGGGGGACGTGGAGCCTGCGCGGCCTGAGCGAGGCAGGGAGGGAGCCACTGCGCTGCACAGTAGGCCCAGTCAGGAGGAGGCTTAACGAAAAGACACTGGCAGCCTCACTGGCCACTGCAAGCACCTGCTCTCCCTTTCCTGAGTAAGAGGGGAGCCACCGGAGAAAACGGACGGACGCACACTTAACAAGGCATCTATGGTGGTGAGGGAACTACAAGGGGTGAAAGGGGCAGCAGAGACTAGAGAGCTCCAAGCTGCGGCAACAACGCAACAGGAAACATCAGGCCCGAGCTGAGCGGAACCGGGGAGCCGTGAGCAGGGGAGGGCCTGGGCCGCTCCTGTGGGACGGCCACTGGGTGAGGGGCCTGTGAGAGATGAGAGCAGTCAGGGCTGGGAGACCCAGCACATGAAGCAGAGGCCGTGCCAACACAAGGGATGCATCAGAACCAGGATCACAACAGTCCGAGGGGCGGGCCCATGGGCAATGGAGGGCCCGGAGCTTCTCGGGAGGCACACTGTGAGCGCAGGGCCGGAAGCTGCGCTGCAGTTTCAAGGTCAAGTGAAAGATAGGGACAAAAGCACTGCAGGGGATGAGGGCCACACAGGGAATCAGCATGGCTGGCAGGGACACGCAACAGGAACCCTTTCAAAAACTTCTTCAGCTGAGCTTGACAGTCCGGAAACAGAACGCCAACAGAAGCAACGACTGACAGGGGAGCGGAGGATGGCGCGACGGTGATCGTGGCAGGGAGTGAGTCCTTAGGCTGCTGAGGGGACAGCACCCGACAGAGGGGGCCCACAGCTGAGGGACCGGAGAGCTCTGAGACCGAGCGCGCTCACTGCTCACACACAACACAGAGAAGAATTGATACAAACTGGAGGTCAGGGGAGAGGCGTGCATGCCAGATTCCGAGATACCGAGCACAGATGGAGGCGGTGGAGCTGCGAACGATGACCTTCGAGGTCAGAAGACCGCTCCGTGGGAGCTGAGGTACTTACTTTGGCACAGGGAGGGGAGGCCCAGGGAGGGGAGGCCCAGGAGCTGGTGCAAAGGCCCTCAGGAAGGAGGCAGCAGTGACATGGCTGCTGAGCAGCTGAGCAAGGCAGCCCCCGACAGCAGCAGCCTAGAGCCCAGGGAGGGAACCTCAGTGGTGAGCACAGGCCACTGATGCACCGAATCCACATCAGGTACCTGCACCCAAGACACATTCACTTTCTACAACAGACCAGGGACCACTCCCCCGATGGCTTACTGTCTGCATTTCTAACCCTCCACCGTATGCCCCGTTCGCAAGGATTCCGCCGTCAGCGTGACAGTCCCAAAGCAGTGCTGGGGATGCGACCTTCCTTGGCCAAGCCTCCCCAGGACTGCCGCACCGGCCCACAGGCCCCCTCAGAGGCTGAGAGTCTGCTCCTGGTCACGTGAACCCAAGGCAGGACTTCTCCACCGCAAGACTGATACTTGGGGAGAATAACTTTGGTTCTGGGGGCCGTCCTGTCACCGCAGGAGGTCTGGCAGCGTCCCGGGCCTCTGCTGACTAGATGTCAGTGGAACCTCCCAGTCCTACAATCAAAGCTGCTTCCAGACATTGCCAGCTGTCCCCGAGGGGTGGGGGTGGGGTGGGGACAGGCAAGCACCTTGGTGAGAACCACTGCGTCAGGGCTAGCGAGCTTGGGAGAGGGGCACACGGACAGGAACTCAACGCTCAAGGGCACAGAAGGGAACTGGGCAGCAGACTGGGAGCGGGAGTGGGGAAGGCAGACAGGTGCCCTCAGGAGCACCAGGGTTCCTACCAGAAAAGTTTCCCAGCCTGGGCCTCTCCTCCGCGGATGTAATGGGTTATTTCTTTGGTGAAATTCCATTCTTCTTCTAGCAGATTTTTTAAACTGTGGGATGCTTGAGGTAACTGCTGTAGCATTTGGATCCAGCTTCTCATGTAATCAAAATATACCTTAAAATACAAAAATGTAAAGGGTGGTATCTGAGAACAGACTTTGGAAACTCACGACGTTCAACTGTTAACATGAAAGCTACGCATCAGAGAGCCATGGGAGAGGGCCGCTGGGCATGGCACCTGTGCTACCAGTGAGGACTTCTCTTAAATTGTGTAGCTCAGCCCTCACAGTGTAACACTGTATCCACAATCCCTTCAAATTACGGAGAAAATGACTAAAATGTTCACAATGCAGAAAAAAGTACAATCAAGTTTTAAAAATTAAAAAGAATAGCAACCAGAAATGTTATGATTAATATCCTGCAGACAATCCTCCTCCAGGAGGCGGGGATCTGCACTTGTTTAACTTTAGACAGTAGCTTCCGTGTTGACAGGAAATGAGCACACTTCTCACCATCCCTTTCCAATATCCAGATTTTTGTGCTGTAATTTTTCAAGGTTTATGACATATAAATTATGATCTATAACTAAAATATCCAATTTTTCTGAAGTGGGGTTTATGGTCACATAAGTCTATTAAGCTTTTCCATCCCTAAATTCTTATTTTGACCTACCTGTTGCTTAGTAGGGTTTTACTATCAAGGGGTTTTTCTCAAGACGGGTTCACAATTGTCTATCACAAAAAAATCACCGCCTACCGATGCTTTTACGAAAGGGTAAGTTGACTGCGTAGAAAACACCTGGGTCACACGTTCTCTCCCTGAGAACTGTTCGACACCACTGCACTGCCCTGCGCTGTTGCCAGGATGAAGAAATCTGATGCCAGCCCAACCTGGCTTCCCCACCTCCCGCCCTGATGACTACTGTCTTTGCTGGGTGTTTACAGGATGCCTCCTCTAGTCTTGGATTCCTGTATTTTCATCAGGTTAAGGCTTCGGCTCACTGGAGCGAATGTTTTCTGAGACCATCACAACTGTCAGTAGGCAAGTTTCAGGTCTTTTCTTCATCTCGAGAGCCGTGCCTTCTGTTGAATCTTGGGAGCTCTGGGCCCTCCTCCATCCACGCTGTGCGCCATCAGTCGCCAGTCCTGGGCCCTGCTGTGTGTGTGGAACCTGCAAGCACGGGTCTACCACCATCCTCTCCAAATGAGCACGGAAAGCGAGCAGCTCCCAGGAGCTCCCTCTCTGCTCCTTTGCTTGCCCTTGAGATTTCTAGAACAGTGATTGTCAACCGTGTGCCACAAGAATTTTTAAACATGCAATACCTGATTATTAAGACAGGGGCACTAACCTATTCTCCCTTAAGACTGTCAAAAAAAATAAATAACAACAGCCAACACAACAATAGCCATCCAGTGTGAATGAATCAAAATTATACCTATTATTTTTTGTTAGATCAGCAAAAAATATAACAGCCTTTGGTGTGCTGTGGAATTTTAGTCATTAGTTATGTGCCATGAGATGGAAGAGGCTGAATGTCGCTACTCTGGGAACACTAATTGTGAGTGTCTGGCCCTCCCTTGTGTGTCTTCTAACAATATCACACCTTGTTATCAAGTATCACATCTTTTCCTTTTTCTTTTTTAAATATACTTTTATTGAGAGGAAGGGAGAGGGACAGGGAGACAGAAACATCAATGGTGAGAATCACTGATTGGCTGTCTCCTCCACGCCCCCCACTGGTGATCAAGCCCGCAACCTGGGCATGGGCCCTGACTGGGATTCGAACTGTGACCGCCTGGTTCATAGGTGAACACACAACCACTGAGCCAAACCAGTCGGGCAAATATCACACCTTTTAAACTCTTTACTGGTTCCTTACATCTGTCATATGTTCCTACATCACACCTTCTGTGTGTTGTCGTGGTTACCTCTGAGGCCAGGGCATGAGTTAGCACGCTGACAGCTTCCACATAGACTTGCTGCCTCAACACCAAGTTACTTCCTTGGCCTGCACACACCCCCCTCGGTTTCCAAGTCAGAGATGACCAGCAGAGAGCAGCCCTCGCAGTCACATTTGGTCCACATCACCTCCTGCCGATCACTGCTGCCCTCACCCTCCCAGCCAGCTCTCAGGCAGCAGTCGTCCTGCTCAGAGGGGAGCTGCAGGCAACAGAAGTGTCCCTCTCCTCCTTCTGTCATGCAGAATGCCATCTACAACAGGACCTCACGGGGACACCCTGCTTCTCTCCTGACGGTCCACACCCCTACATTCACAATGCTAGTTCATCAATGGACGGGCCCTCCATATCTGGTCACCCTCATTTTAGTCTAAACGTTAAAGTAAATAATTGTAATAGTCTTCTTTGGGGGGTGGGGGGTGGTAGGGTGGTAGGGTGAATATTGTGATCAGTATCCTCCTTTACGGAACATGAAATGTTTCTCTTTACTCTTCCTTCCTTTTGCTGTTTTTGGTGAGTTTCAAGTAAACATAACCTGACAGCCAATCCAAAGGCCACTCTCTCCTTCCTTCCTCATAAAAACACCGATTTGGTTTGCGCTTCCCCAGTTCTGAAAACATGCCCCTGCACTTACGCATCTAGCACTCTTTGGGGCACAATTTTAAAAACATGGTAATTGCTGGTTCTTCATCTGTGAGACGATGGAGAGAAACGAAGGGAAATTGTGCCTTACACAGATCATTAGTAGCAAAGCTCAAACTAACTCCTAGGCAAAGCAAAGGACATTTTCTCTTTTTAAACTTCTGTTGAGTCATCCACAGAGAGAGAAAAATTAGTTTGCTTATGGCTTTATACCATAAATTTTCAATGATAAAGACGTTTCTGACATAAGAAATATACTAGCACAGTACTTTAAAACATAGCCACATTTTAGATGTACTGGTCTTTTATGTATTCTCCCAAACAACCAGGAAACAATTTCAAAATCAAAATTATTTCCGTAACATGGTGGATGTGGCCAGACCCCTTCCCAGTCACCTCTTCCTGCACGCCTTCCACTCAAGAGGCTGGCAGCTGAGTGTGTGGAAGCCCAGCCTGCACTGCAGGGAAGAGGCTCTGCACCCAGCCTGGCCAGCGGGACCAGGGGCAGCTGCTGGGCAGGGCTTCCAGGAGCGCCCTGCTCTGGACTTAGCTGCAAGCACTTTCCCGTCTACCCTTCTCTTCTCTCTCAGCCTAGAAAGGGGGTGGTAGCTGGACGTGCTGAGCCACCCTGAGGCAGCACAGTGAGGCACCAAGCAAGGATGAAAGCATTGCAAAAACAATAGACCTACCAGCGAGGTTGTTTTCTGTATTATTTCATCAACCTGTCATATTATGCAATCAGCTGTGTCTCTCTATTGAATCTAACATGTATTTACTGCACAGTAAGACTCTACCAGACGTTACGGAGACAAAAGAACTTCAAGGCATAGCCTGTGGCTTGTAAAGCTTTCAGTCTAATTAGGGGAACCTGAGAACAGAGACTTGCTATGTCATTGCGTATTAAGCAGTACAGTTGTAATTATAACTGCTGAGAGTTCAAAGAAGGTTTAGATAAAGCCCACTAAAGGTTCAAACTGTCAAATAAGCTTTCTAGAAAAAAATAAAACTTGAAAGTAAGTCTCAGGTGGGAAAATAAAGAGAAGGGACGTTTTGAGCAGGGAGAAATAATAGGAGCAAAAGTCCAGCGGTTACAAAGCACAGGTACGTACAATGCACGTGAGGGGACTAGGGGCTCTTTTTGGAAAGAAATACAAGTAAGTCTGCTCACGTTGTTTACAACCCCGTGCATGGGCCAGGTTCCTCACGTAACTCCTGACTCCTCAAGACTCAGCTGCCTCACCGTCCAGTGTAGGTGTCCCATCCCTACCCTTCCTGGCATCTCGGCACAAGGCTACCTCAGCACTTCCTCCTCAGGGAGGAGTATCAATTTTGCCCAATTCTTCAGACTGAATTTTGTAGGACTCGTTAACTGTGTACCCAGAGCCGGGCAAGGTCCCTCGCTCATCCGAGGTACTAGAGATACAGCTGATGACAGATGGCTCAATAAAATACGACCAGGCTATGATTCTATTTCGGGGCCATCTGCTACAGACCCACACTGAAACAGTGAAGTAGAATAGGCTATAAAACAATCGGTTAAAAAATAGCCCTCACACACACGGCCAGACAGACCTGGGGGACACACCCCCGCGCCTCACCATCAGCATCTCCTGCAGGTCCTCCTCGAAGGCGTCCATGTTGCAGTCAGCCTTCTCCAGGCCGTGCCGGACGCCGTGCAGCATGAACTGGTAGTACTGCTTCATCAGAAGGCCGCCCTTCAGCACCTCCTTACACTCTCGGACCAGCTGCAGGGACAGTAGCAACTCCGTCATCTCACAATCCTGACCAGGTTAGGTATCAATTTTCAGTTCCCACTTGAATCCTCAAAGAACTCCAACACCCCCTCCCCAAACGAATCCTTACCTCTGAAAAACCTAAGATACTTTACAGATTCTTACACAATATCTTAGTCTCAACTGGATGAGAACAAAACAGTAAAAATAAAGTATGGGTGCAGAGTGAAAATGTCACATAAACAAAAACTGATTTGCTAAAATACACAAAGAAATTTACATAGAAAATAAAACCCATAGAAAGATATATTTTTCTACTACTTTACATTATAAGATAAGGTATAGAAGAGAAAAATCTCATCCCTTTTAATCAAAATAAAGATTCAAATGTTCTTACCACAGAGCATGGGACCTTTGTAATAGTTTAGCATAATTTACCTACAGGGGATTATGGCGTTCACTATCAAAAAACTATACTAATCCACAAACAAACCCAAGATTAACCTGAGGAAATTAGATGTTTACATGTAGCTTAAAAGGAATGAAAAAAAAATACATTTAAAGAACTTAAAATACCTAATTTTAAGTTTCCAGTCTTTAAAGATTGATATTAATAGGATATAGGTAATATCATCATCCTACTTTTATATCCTTTTTGACAAGGAAGTGAATAATAGGAAGGCTGCACCACAAGCCTGTATTTGAGGACTGCATGTAAAGAACATTTCAATCGCCCTAAAAAGAGCAGCTTTGAAAACACTACTTAGTTTTCACTATTTGCAACAATTATGGAAAAAGTCCTCAAAATAAGAATCATAAGCCTGTGGAGTAATATAATGATCGCTAGATGTTTTTAAACAGTCTTTGAAACAAACCTGCTTAATACTCAAGAGAGACGGCTCTCCCGCAGGTCTCTGCTCCAATCTCAGCTTGAGGCATTCGTGGATGACGTTCAGGAGGACCCGGCAGAGGACCAGGAAGGCAGGTTCGAAGGAGGGTAAGTCCATGGCCTCGAGCTCGGCCCACGACACAGCGCTGCACTTCTGCTCGGAAGCAGGGGGCGGCCGGGACAGCTGCACATAGTCGGAGCCCCACATGGGATCTGGAAACTCAGAAAACTGTAACAACATTCAACAGAGGCGAAAGAGCATCCATGAGGGTGTAGTCATAAACTATTATTCTCTATCATTTGCTGACAAATCTACAAAAGTCATCACTCTACAGGAAAAGTTATTTTTAGAATAATTTAACGTTTCAATTTTAATGTTTTCTAAAGCAAAGAGTTCTAAAAGTATTAGGAAAGTGTAACAAGAACTACAACAAAATTGCAATATTTTTGTCAAGAAAAAAAAATAAAATCAAGTTCATCTTTTTCATCATGTATTTTTTATTAAAATGGTCAGAACACTTATATTTAAGGTTATAGTATTACCCACAACTACCTCTACACTGAGAAAAACTAGAAAATATTCGAGAAAAGACTATAAAACCAGATAGCCATTTATCTATAATAATAAAAGTGTAATATGCTAACTAGACCAGACGTCCTTCTGGACGACCTTCCAGGCGAAGCTGGGGCTGCAAGGGAAGCCCGGGTCCTGGGTCCCAGGTCCCAGAGGGAAGCCAGTGCCGGCAGCCAGGAGAAGGAAGGCCTACTCTTGCACGAATTTCGTGCACCGGGCCTCTAGTGTAAACATAAAAACCAGTGCATTCAACACATTCTTTTGTCCATTTTTCCTCCTGACCTATTCTGAATGACACTGATAGAAAAATCAGGAAAAATTCATAAAATTGACCTGGCTAGTCTCACTCAAATATCTGTTATTTGATGTTTCCTGGGGCCCCTAATATTGCTCACCATTGTATTTCCCCCCATAAAACATGGGGTTTGGAGCTTCCCCACTGTTTTTAAACCTCTGGCAACATCATACTGACCAATCATATTCAAAGACCTTGCCTTCTCCTTTCGAGAACACTGAAGCCATCAAAATTTGAAAATCTCAACTTTTCTTCAACTTAAAACATCACCAATTAATTGGTATTCTGCCTCTAAATGTTCCATGCGGTGCTTTAAATATTTTGTACTTAGGGGCCAGCATTTAAAAGTTAGAAGATTTTACATGAAAATCTGGATCTTTTTGTTCTGTTTGACACACTGGGAGGTCTGTCCACACTGGACCCACAGTGCCCACATGACAGCACCTGGCTGGCTCAGTTTACCACAGTGACCACCGTTTCTCACTCTTCACGGCCACCTGCCCCTTTCTCCCGCACGCGCCACATTCCTGGCCAGGCCCGCAGACGTTCCAGTTGGTGCAGTGACCCTACTGCAGGAGGCAGGATGTGTACTGGCTAATCGCATGGCCTTGCAGCCAGTCCTGGGCTCGCGTCCTGCTCCAGCACGCATGTGTGCAACCTTGACCCTCCACATGATACGTATTCAGTGCCCACTCGCCACGGGTCTGGAGCTGCTGCTGCTGTCATGGACCCGCTCTCTGCTACAAACTGGAGCACTACTTCCTACTGGCCCACACATCAGTGTGCTTCTTTAAGAAAAACAAAACCTAGAGGCAACGAGCAAGTAGGTGCTTATTAGCTTGACACCTCAATTAAAAAGTTATGTAACTTCACGAATGAAATCAGACAGGGGATGCTTGGCACCAATAAAAAGTGACCTATAAACACTGCATGAGTGAGCACTGGTTGTGAGAGTGTCACCTCCCTGCTGCTCCCAGTGGGCTCACTCGCAGCTGCACTGGCGCTGCTTGATCTGGCTACGCAGGCAGGTTAAAATGCCAGTGCTCCTCTGCCCGGCCAGCGTGGCTCAGTGGTTGAGCGTCAACCTGTGAACCAGGAGGTCAGGGTTCGATTCCCAGTCAGGGCACATGACCAGGTTGTGGGCTCAATCCCCAGTGTGGGGTGTGCAGGAAGCAGCCTATCAATGATTCTCTCTCATCATTGGTGTTTCTATCTCTCTCTTCCTCTCCCTCTCCCTTTCTCTCTGAAATCAATAAAAATATATTTAATAAAAAAAAATGGCAGTGCTCCTACCCTACCTGGGAGATTCAGAATTGCCTACAACCAAGAAGGACGCTGTGTGTATCTGTACCTGTCAGAGCTCTCCAGGAGATGCACATGTGCAGTCAGGTTTGGAAACTATGAGTATAGCTTAAAGTCTGCTATCCCCAAATCCTAGGTTTGAATCTCTCTAGCAATCTATAACTTCTGTGATTTGGGCCTAGTTGCCTACTCTCCGTATATGAAAAATATAGAAATAAAAATGCCACTTCATTCAGCTATTGTGTCTAGCACATGGTAAGGCTCACTAAATGGTAGTTTATTATAAATGCATATCCTTGTTTCTATAGCCTTTGTCCACTCTGAATATAAAAGGCAACCTCTTCAGGAAAAATTAGCATAATTATTATTAGATCCTAAATGATATTTCACTGGCCACTAAACTTACAATCTATATACAGTAAGTTCTCAGGTTACGTCAGAGATCCATTCTTATGGTTCGATGTAATGTGATTTTCGCCATAAGTCGGAACCCACCTACATAAGCACTTACGTCACTCACATGGAGCATATACACAGAAGTAATGAAGTGAAACAGTAAAAAAAAAGTTTAAAAGAGAACCAAGATGGCAGCATAGGTAAGCACCTGTACTTGCTGCCTCTCACAACCACATTAACGCCACAACTAAATGGCAGAACTACCACCCAGAACCGCGGGAAGCCTCGCTGAGTGGAAGTTCCACAACTAGAGAGGTGAAGAAGGCGCACTGAGACTGGTAGGAGGTGCGGAAAGTGCTGGCACCTGGATGTGCTGCTCTTTTAACAAGGAGGGAGATACAAGCTCCCGCTTGCTCTGAACTCCTGTCTGGGTGAGACTCTGGGGGACCCAGGCACATATGGGGAGAAACTGGACTATCTGGCATCGGGACAGGAACGCGAAGGCGGCTGGTTCTCAGGTGCTCACAGCAATCATTGTTCCTGCACGGGAGGACCAGGGACTTCTCCGGTTCAGGGCTGACTGGCAGCCATAGCTGTTTGCTCCACCCTGGTGATTTCTAGAGTCCCTGCCCCACCCAATTTACAACCCTACCCAAGCTGTGCGCATCAGCTTTTGCATATGAATGGCCTGTTCTTTCACCTAAAACTTGTCAAACTGCAGCTGGGTCAGAGAGCTCCAGAGCTTCCAAAAGAAGGCCCAAGGCCAGGCAGCAGCAGCCGGCCTTGCTTCACAGGGCCTCGTCAAGAGGAGGAATCTGCAGATGTCTCTGTAGCTCCTGCTGGGTGGCCCCAGACAATGACTGACCTTGCACCTCCTTGGAAATACAAGAGCCAGTGTACGCAGTGGTCAGAGTGAGACCATACCAGATTACAACTCTTCCCATCTATAAGAGAC